AATTCGCATCAAGTTCAACTTTACACACCAAAGTTAATTTTTACAACGTCATAGTTCATCTTGACAAAGTCAATATTTCCCTATATATACAGCAAGGAGCACTGATGACGATTCATTCGAAATCGAAATATGGCCTTATTTGCAGCATGAATTCGAAAAATAAGTTTATTTTGAATTTTAATAAACTAAACGTTCACCAAAAAACTTTAGTGAGAAAAATCGAAAAAACGAACTACAAACATATTAACGCCAAACATTCGGTAGAATTTATAGAATATTGTAAATATATATATATATATATATATATATATATATATATATATATATATATATATATATATATATATATATATATATATATATAATGGAAGGAGACCATATTTTATACATTATTGTTTGCATTAATCAATTTAAAGTTTGATTTTTCAATATTCCTTGCTAGAATTTTTTGGAAATTGTTTAATTTCTTGAAAATGGATTTATTATTCAAGTTCATCATAAAGATTTAATAAAACTGTTGTTATCCACATTCATCATGCGTTAGCGTTTCTTTTTATGATTTGTTTGAGCACGATTTGGTCAATTTTGTGTGTCGTTGACATATGATTTCTGTGATATAGGATTATGTCGTTGTCACTGTTGTATTTGAGTAGTTATGTTTCATGCTGGGGAATTTCATGCCGTGGAAATTTAATTGAATCTGATTTTATTTGCTCTATCGACCCCAACTTTTGTACTTCAAGTTAGAACATATTAGAACAACTGACTCATTTACGTAAAGATCGTGCATTAAATTCTTCAAAAATTTTTCAATGTTCATGATTTAACTGTTAATGTTAAAAGCAGGGTCTTCGAATGGACCCAGTGTAGCTTTTTTGTAGATTTTTCAACAACTATGGCAATTATTTTATTTTTGATTTTTGTGTATGCTCAAATTAGTTGTAATAAATGATGTCAATGAACGTGAAAATGATTAACAAATGTACAAAATGAATATGACTTTAAAAATGAAATTTGGTATAATTAACTATGCCAATTGTTTTGGTAGAGAATCGGATTAAAAATAACACATATCAACTCTAACTGATATAGTCAAAGAAGCCATTGGTTACACAACTTTACAGATTAATTTATACAACATTTATAATATCAAGATTGAAATACAAAGAGCTGTTGAAGTGGGAATATTTTGCATTTACCAATTGGAATTGTGCACGTTAAAATGTTTGAAATATACTTTAGACTAAAAAGGAATGCATTTATATGATTTATTAAGTTGTTATTTTAAGCTCGACAAAATGTAAATTTGTTCGCATCTGTGCCAAGCCAAATACCAAATGAAAAAGCTGACAAAGAACATTTCTTATTTTTAAGAAATATCAAATTCTGACAAACGTAGGATTTTAGAAAGCAAAGTGTTTTTAAAATTGGAAAATGATTTTAAAATTTGAAATATGTTTAAAATTCATATGAAAATTAGTTGAATATACTACCGTTTCCGACCGAATAAATTACCTATTCTACCGAATATACATACTAAATATATGAAAATCATTTGAATGGACTAAAGTATGTTGAACCAGTTATCGAATTAGGCATATGTTATGTTAAGTTTGTAATATCATATTAAAAATTAATTTTTTTTTTAAATAAATCGGTATATGGCTACAACTAAAACTTAAACTCATCAATGCTGTAAATTATTTTAGAAATCTTATTGAGTTATGCACCAGTGTTTTTGTTACTACTTAAAAGCAGTGCATGTAACATTTGTCAATACCAAAATGTATCCTCCTCTTCACTTGCACTCTATTGTTCTACTTCGTTTGTTTGGATATTGCACTGTTGGATATTTATTTTAGTTAATTTTTTTGACAAGATCAAAAAAATTTACATTTTTTTTCAAAACTGTTTTTAACGAATATTCCAACAGAAAATATATCAGAAAGGCACGATAAACAAATATTTTATATGACGGCAAAATATTATAAATAAATGTTTTAATAAAACTTGTAAAGACTTTAAAAATGTTAAACGTAGTACCAGCTGGTACATATGGACATACAAATCAGGAAATAGATGTTTTATTTTGGCAGAGCATTGCAAAATGGTTGTCGTCATTCAAGTCGTCTGACACATCTGATGAGGACATTTTGCTACCGTTGTCGTCGTCTGTTTCGAAATTTGAATCGAGGTTTTGATCGCGTGTCGACAAGTTCAACAACCGATTTGTTGATACCTAAAAAACAAAAATACTTTAATAATCTGGTGCATGAATTTATGAAATGATAAACCTATATAATTTATTTATTGATAGTTGAAACAAATGGTTAAAAAATCAAGGTAAGCTTGTTAAAGATTAATGTGGTTTGGGCCAAACCACGATGAAATGGATGAATGTTTAGACATAAAAATGTTTAGACATGTGTTGAAGGAGAAGGTAGGAGTAGATTTGGGTAGCCGAAATAAAAAAAGATTTGAGATTGAAAAAAATGTGATCAGAAAAAATTGCTCAAAAAACTTTGCAGACGGCATGTTGTTCTTAAACACCAAAAAATTGCAGACATACAAAGGACTTAAAACTCCTTAAATATTGGTTTGGAGAAAACCTTACAGATATCCTGACGTTGTTTTCTTAACATCAGGATTTTGTTTGAGAAGAAATATTACAGTAAACAACATTTCACATAACAACAAAATAAAAAAATACTAGCAAAATACAAAAAAATTACCAACAAATATGTAGACAATTTTCGATTTGTGTCATTTTAAAAATTTAATTTATTTATCAGTGGCGCTGCTAGAAATATGCTGCGAAGTGGCTTAAACTTGTTTAAAAAGATGACACTTTTTCCAGTTCAAATTTTTACGTGTTTGTTTTTAATATAAAAAATTTGTTAAATTTTGTCATAGCTCTAACAAAAGTTTGAGTGTGTGGGAGGGCTTCAGCCTAAAAGCCCCCTTCTCGCCAGCGCCTCAGACATTCAGACTAGAACCAATTTCACAATAGATCAACAGGATATTATTATATTATGAATTTTTTAATAAAATTGAAGCGTTAGCGTAAAATTAAACCGAGTTCAGTAAAAAAATAAAAATATTTTATATGATTCGCTTCATTGACAAAAACAAGCAACCAACCGGAGTGTCAACCGCGTGTGAGTCAGGTTCTGAAGCATGTCCGTCAGAAGATCTTCTTGTTTTCGTTCTTCGGTTTTGAAACCATACTTTTATCTGACCCACCAGTTTTTTAACATTTTTTTAAAATATATTTAATAATCTATAATTAACAGAATCAATCATCTTAACTGATTAGTTATAAATATCTAAGTTTTAATATTTTCTAAAACGTAACAAGCTCTGAGCTATTTAGCAGTATAAGTTAATAATTTACTTATATTTTGGTCGTCGATGTATATAAATAAATATAAACAAAGCTTAACAATAATAAAATAGTTGAACATAAGAAAGAAGTCACGACGATGACTGTCAACAGTAACTCAGCATTTTCAAGTAACCTGCGTTTCTGTAAGGTGAAGTTTCTTGGCCAGAGTCTTCCTCTCTTGGCCTACAACGTACTTGTTGCTTTCGAATGCTTGCTCCAAGTGCATGAGCTGTGCGGGAGAAAAGGCAGTTCTTATTCGCTTCTGTTTGCGAAGCCCAAAAGGCAATAGAAGGCCGGCACCTAAATATCAAATCAAATTTTTAAATACATTACTTTAATATCTTTACAATTTTATTGTAAGAAATTTCTTGTTTTTTCCGAAATGAATCTTGCAATCGTTGTAAACAAAAATTACACATCAATAAATACTGCCATTATAATTGTTTTGTCTTGGAGTTGTCATACAGTCAACAACTATAATACATTATATATAATTATGTTTAATGAATAGTTAAGATGCATCGTCTCGTCTCACTTTTTCTCTCTCTCTCTCTCACACACACAAACGCGCGCGCGCGCACATACACACGCACACACATATTCTCTCACACACACACATCACTGAATCCATTAACATATATATTAATAAGCTTGTATTGAAATGAGCTAAAGACGGACAGGATGATAAAGACCGCTTGTAACATAACCGATTAGATGCGATTCGCAGTCAGTCAGACATGTTCTTTGCGTAAATGATAACGATAATTATGACGCAATCACTATGACGCAATCATAGCATAGTTAGATAACGAGTAATTGATTCTATTCGACTAATGTTTACTGAAATGATATCACGGAGCTGAGTTAAATTTGTTGTGGTCGATAGAATCTGTTTAAGTCAGTTTTTAATAACGTCTATTAAAATTAATTTTTACAATAAAATATTGGCTCTGTATTATTTTTATAATGAACAATAAAATGATTGAGTTAGATTTAAAGAAAAAAAAACAATGAAGAATGAAGTGGCAATAAATAAAGGAATGAATTAATGTAGAGAAGGTATATCGTCGTTATCGAGTAGCATCTGCTTAATTAAATTAATTGCAGGATGTTTAAATTTTTTTGTTTCATTAAACTACTTAATGATATTTTTACGAACTCCTCTCTCTCTCTCTCTCTCTCTCTCTCTCTCTCTCTATCTCTATCTTTCAGTGCTAATTTCTCTAGGACATGTGTCAAACAGAGGGCCCACAAAAATTTGTGAAACATTGTTCGTTTAACATTTGCAATATCAAAACTTGTTTGAGATCGTTGGCCCAGCAGCCTAAATTCGCTTTCCGTTTTAATTTCATTGCCATAAATTACGTAACTAATGCAAATGTAAACGACGTAATAAAAATGTTAAAAATTGTCTAAATTATTTCGCTACAAACTTTCGAGTGCATACGGATTTTCTTGGAGAAATCTGGAGGTAAGAAGTTGTTGCTGGTTGTGGTAATGATTGTTGTTGGACATCCAAGACAAAACTCGTTGCTCTGTCGTCAACCAGCTCAGAGGACTGGCACTTGAAAAATTGTTAAACCTGGCGGAATTGCTGTTGAATTGATGTTGCAGAAGCATATTCTGCTGTTGAGCTGTGTTGTTCAGTTGATTTTCACCAAAACCCAGCGGATGTGGAATGGGAATCAACGTTTTCAGAGATGGATACATTGGGGGCGGCAGCAAATGCTGTTGCAGTTGTTGCTGGAACAACTGCTGAAAAATTTGTTGAGAATTATGTTCCAAATTTTTGAATTTTTTTGCTGAGCCGCCGCTCTCAAAATTCTGTTGTTCGTTGTTGTTGTGGATGTCATCCGCTGTCAATGATGTTGACGTTGTTAGTGATGTTGTTGGAAAGGAAAGTGAGGATGAGGACGATGACGACGACGGTGGATGTTTTTCTTGTTTATGATGTACTTTTTGCTGATAGGTAGAGTTTAAAAGAAACGAATGTGACGACTCACTACATTGACTGAATGGTTCTTTCATGGGCTTCAATTCATCGTTCTTTATGATCAGCGTTGGACTTGCTGATGACGACTTACAACCTTGCTCCGTGTTTATCCTTTCTTGCTGAGTGCTTCCTAATATAATATTTATTTTATTATCGTTATTTACATTTGTGTGATCTGCGTTAGGCTGGTTCTCAGTTTGGGGTAAAAAATTAATTTGTTTGCTGTGTAAATTTTCAAAATTTGTGGCAATCGTTTTGTTATTGTGTTTCATGACGTTGGCGCGATTGTTGTCAGGAACTTTGTTGTCAGCATATCCACAAATGAATCGATTGATGATGTTACCAAAGTCCATGTTGTTGTTGCGGCTGCTTTTGTTGCTGTGGCTGTTGTTGCTGCTGCCGTTGTTGTTGTTGTCACCAATTTTATTGCAATGATCGAGCGTCTTTTCGTGTTTATCGCTCGAGATAATGGCATCTATTGAAAATTTTGTGCAAGTTTTTTTCAACGGTGGTCTATTAACTTCATCGTCATCTCTGCTATAACAGTTGCTGTTTGAAGTCCGGGTGTTGCTTTTGTTGTTGTTCATATTGTTCATGTTGCTTTTGTTGTTGTTCATATTGTTCATGTTGTTGAATTTGTTACTGGACTTTAAAACACCGGTTGAGTTTGATTGTTTGATGCCGCTTGACCGGGATGGAGCGTTGGACGGATGGTCATCAGCAATTTTTGCTACGATCAAAATGATTATGTAACGAGATTTTTAGAAACCGTTGGAGTATGAAGAAAAATTACAGAAATATAAAATTAAAACTTTCATTTGAAAGATATGCAGGTCAAAATATAACTAGGTACGTTACATTACTTCAATATAAAAATTAACTGACTAATGACGACCTTTCGTTATGAATTTAATAGAAAAAAGAAACAATGAAAAAAAGCCTGCTGCGATGCAAGTCAGTAATCGCTATGACCATCTCTCAGTTTCAATCCTTCTTATATATACATAAGCAACTTTCAAATGCAAATGATGTATGTGCTATGTGTGTAGTAATTGTCGTAATGTGCCCGATGTACAACTTAATCATACGTATTTGTTTGTTTGTATGCCCACAAAGTACATAATAATTGCATGTAATGTAGAACCTAACCGCGACAGTTTACGTGTATACATGTATGTATATCTATGTATGTATGTATGTATGTATGCATGTATGTTTGTGTATATATATATATATATATATAAATATATATATATATATATATATATATGTATATGTATGTATGTATGTACGTATGTATGTATGTATGTATGTATGTATGTATGTTTGTATGTATGTATGTACCATAATAAATCATTAATCAAACGGATCGTTAGTGAGGCGACCAATTCAAACGCAGCGATGTTATTGGTGGGGCTGCCTATTACGTTTACACACATACAAAGACATTCACTGTATATACGTACGTGTATAATTGTATATAAATACATATAAATAAATAAATATATATATATATATATATCTACGTATTTGTGCGTGAGTGTGCGTGAGTGTTGTATGTGTATTTGTGCGTGCGTGTGTGTGTGTGTGGTGTGCGTGTGTGCATTGTATATGTGTGTGCATACTCACACGTAAACAATCACAGTCACATCCACACAAACATATGTGTATAATATACGTATATGTGTGTGTTTATTTGCTTATATATTTAATAATGTGCCTATATCTCACATACACACGCACAAACACAGACATACACACGAAACACACACACACACATACATATATATATATTTAAATATACTTTTTTTTATTAATTTATATTTATTTAAATGCCATTAATAGCTCATCAAACAATTCCTAGAAAATATGTTCTTATGCCTATAATATATGTACGTGTATGTTATTATTGACTGTATTATATTGATTGCATTTGTTTTTGTATAATAAAAGTAAACTTGATGATTCGTTGCAAATTAAATGGAAATTTGATGAAAGAAGTTTGGAAGTGACGAATATAATCTACAAAAAGTTTATTTTTCATTTGTTATTCACAATTTAATTGTAAAAGCATGTGACCTGACAGACCTGCAACACATAGATGGATGTCTCTTAAGGCATTCACTAAGTAACGTAGCCAGAAATGTTCTGTTTTTTTTTATTCAAATTTGGAAAAAAATTGCTTTTCTTTAAAGGTTTGCAACAATTTTAAATAAAAAAGTTTATAAAATTCACCTAAAAATTAGGTTAATTTCAACTTTAACTCTAACGAGAACGTCTTCCATTGTGAGAGGTCCAGTCCTAACGACAATTAACTACTTCTACTTGTCTGCCATTCTACATTGTTGTTTGTGTTTTTTTTCATGCAAATAAAACTTGATCCTCACTTCTGAACGCACAATTCTTCAGCGGTGCGTCCCACAGATAAACTTTCATTTTGATGCGCTTCACTTTGAAGTGCTCAATTTTATGTTCTTTCATCTCTCGTTCCCGTTCTTTCATTCATTATTACGACCAACTCTGTCATGTTGTTTTGTGTCGCTCTCTCTCTCTCTCTCTCTCTCTCTCTCTCTCTCTCTCTCTCTCTCTCTCCTCTTTCCCTGTTACATTTAACATGCACAAATTCAAATTTTAAGAATAAAAATTCTATCTGATGTGAATGAATGAATGAACGAGTTAACGACCGAATGAATAAATGAATGAATGAACGAACAAATGAATGAATTGATTAATTATTAATTAATTAATTACGTTAATTACGAATAATGAGTTGATTGATTGATTAATTAATTAATGGAATGAATATGTGAACGAACAAATGAACGAACGAATGAATCGATGAATGGATGAACAGATGAATGAAGAAATCAATAGTGGGGCAATGCATATAATATCCATAATTACTAGACAAAGTATTCAAACAACCATTTGTAGATTTAATTTACATTCTTTTTGAAAATTCATTAAAACGTAAATCAGACATTTGAAAAAAATTAAATTAATCAATCAACCAACCAATTACATCACAGCTTTATAATTAGAATTAATCACTGCATTAAAGAATGAAAGCATTGAAATGTAATTAATTTGTTGGCTGCGACACGTAATATTAATAAGAATAATAATTAATATTCAATAGTTCACAGCTTGTTAACAACAACTTACACGGATGGCAAACAAATAACACCTTTCATATATATGTGGGTGTGTGTGTGTGTGTGGGTATGTTTCTTTGTGTGTGCGTGTATGTCTGTGTTTGCTTGTTTATGCGTAATGTCCAATGTATGCGTGTATGT